CTTTTTTTTTTTTTTTTTTTGAGCGATGGCAACCAATTCTATCAACTATTGTAAAAAGAATTTTCATTTTTGTTGACAATTTCTATGTAAAACAAAGTCAAACGAATATGGTAATTTTTTCTAATTGTTTAAATTTTTTTTTTTACTTTTTGGTAATTAGAACAAATTATAGACGTATTGGTAGAAAAATTATCATTTTAATGGACAATTTTTATTAAAAAAAAACCCAAACGGACACCAAATTTTCAACATTTTTCTGGTAGAAAATTATACCAATCAAACACAATTAATTACAATTCCCAGGAAAACATTTTCCCTGTAAAACATTTTCTTTCCACCAATTTTCCACCCTTGTAATCAAACGGTTAGTGATTTTCATAACAAATTGAATTGAAAATAAAAAATTCACTGTTGAAATGTTTTGTTTTCATGGTATATAATAATAAATTTTAATTGTATACAATAATGCTCATTTCTTAAATACACATAATAATTCTTATTATTGAAACATTTTTTTTAATTATTTATATTAATAATTTCTAAGACTTTTTTTATAGCATATAATAGTGCTTTTTGTTGAAACTTTTTTTTTTTTTTAATTGTACATATTAATGATTTTTTATGAAACAAATAATGTTAATAATTAGTAATAATTTTATTAAGTTAATTTTTCGTTGGAAATAAATTAAATGTTATATTCATGATATATAGTATTACATAAATATTGGGAAATAGTATATTGAACTTAAGCTAAATATATAAGAATAAAATTGGTAATTAAAAGTTCTCTCAATCCTTTGTTTTTATATATTGTAGATATGTTAATTTCACTAGGAGGCGGCGAACCATCTAATTCATTGCCACATTCGATTATCATTATTAATGACAAATTCCATTATTCTAATTTTTTATGATCACCAAATGTGGGGGTATACATTATTACATCAATTAGATAATCACTAGTGATAGATAATGCTACTTGAATAGCACGTTTTCTAGAGTTCCATGGAGTGAACAACAAATATATTATCATATTAGTTTACGTGACAATAATATTATGTTGTCTAATCAAAGCTAAAGTGCATAGAACACTATCCATGTACTACTAGGAGTTTGTTTGTGAGGGATTAAAATCAGATTAAAATTGAAAATATAATTGTTAGAGTTGACTTTTTATTAGACGAGTGGGACCCAATAACGACTATATTTTCAATTTTAATCCTTCCCAAATAAGCTCTAGATAATAAATGAGTAATGCTAATTAGCCCCGATTCGCCCATCATTAAACCAAATTTTTGTTCTCAAATTCATTTTCAATCACATATTCTTACAATAAATATACGTGAATTGAAATTTTTTTCCTACTTTTAATCACACATTTTTTAAAAAAATCACTATTCTAAAAACTTATTTCCTTCCAAAAAAAAAAAACTCAATTTAACGGTTGTTGTTGGTGTTTAACACAATGTAGTTATCATTAAACGATTGATTTATTTAAGAAGTAATGTTATTTAGTTTTACTAGGATTATAACCCAGTTTATATAACTTTAATGTGGTATTAAATTATAAGTTTTGTTTAGACTGAAGTTATAACTCAAATGATGTTATTGTTATTTTAATGTAAAAATACATGACTATCTAATTGGACCAGTCAAATATAATCCTATATATAAATGCCCTAAAATCATCGGTACCACTGCATGCTATTATTCTAATAATAACACTGTTTATTAATTTTTTGGGACTCATAATCGTATATTTTATCAATTTTTATGTAGTAATAATCATCCTCCATGGTAAATAGTTAATTTCGGCCACCGCCACGTTGGCTAATTTCATCGGGAAAATTTATGCCTATATATTTCGGACTCCTTCCCTAACCCTCGTTCCTATTCCAGTGTTGATGTTAAAACTTACAAATTTTTGAAGCTTCACAAATATGGGAAACGGTATTTTAACCGCGTACAATTCTTGAAAGATTGTTTACTGTAAAAATTTCAATTTCGACACGAATTTGATCTCTGAAATTCTTCAGGTGAGAAAGGTCGACCCAGTAAAAAGATCAAGTTTTCCAAGGTTCTCTTCGAATTTTTTATTATATTTTTGCTAGTTTTTTTTTCCGCCAAATAATTCTCATTTTTTATTCTCTTGTACTGAAGGAGGAATATAAGGCTTCTGCTGCTGATGACGAGGCTTCTCATTTCCCTGACGACGACGATATTCGTGAAGGTATTTACAATAACTTATTTTTATTGCACTCCGGATTTTACAATTTCATTTTTGTTTCTGGGCTTGTGTTAATTTGGAAGAATTGTGTGAATTGAATTATTTGGTCTGGTTTTTAAGGCGAAGAGAAAAAGAGGGATTTTTCAAAACTGGAACTTAAACCTGATCATGCCAATCGTCCGCTGTGGGCTTGTGCTGATGGTCGGATTTTCCTCGAAACTTTCTCCCCGCTGTACAAACAAGCCTATGACTTCCTCATTGCCATTGCTGAACCCGTTTGCAGGTATCGTTTTACCCAATTTATTGTGATTATATACGTTTGCATTTTGAACCCTCGTGTAAGTAGTATGACACAAAAATTTGGAGTTGATAGCTTATAGGGTATTAGCCCTTGTTCGAGCTCCATTATTTCAAATAATTGATTTTGGAATAGTGTTTTTTTTTTTGGGAGAATACGCGATAATAAAGTACCGAGAATTTTTGGGTTTAGCAGCAATTTTGTTTTAATTTGTCACGAATTTCGAAAAGAACAAGTAGCTTCCAAGGGAAGCTACATTAATGCTAGTTAATACCTTATTATAGATTTATTTGCTTTTATTATCTATTAGATATTAATCAAGAATTTTGGGAAAAATGAAGAAGATGAAGTAGAAAGTCATGAACAGTAAAAAATAATTATATGCTTCCAATTCATTAAAAAATCATATAATTTAGTCTCATCCAAATTTGCAGTTGATATAGGCTTTCCACAGTTCTCGGTTGAAGGTAATTTTTCTTTGAAATTTAGTTTTTGTTGATAAGTTGTGTTTAGTAGTTGTTATTCTTGACATTTCATAACGTTCTTGACATTTTAAAAGTTATCGACATTTGAATCATGTTTATTTGACATCGACACTTCATTTGTTTAGAATGAGATTTCGTTTTGAATATGAGAGTTCTTTATATTTTATAATGTTCTTGACATTTTAAGTGTAATTCTCGACATTTCATAAATGTTTTATTTACCTACTTGTAGGGAGAAGTGAGCATTTAATGCATGATTGACATGGTATTTTTTAAAATAAGTAGTATGGGTTTTGTGTCAAGTTATCATTGGTCAATGCAATTTTTAATTATATAAATAATTTTGTCTTCATTGTGGAATTTAAAATTGTTAATGAGGGCATTTTGGTCTATATTATAGTAAAATAGACATTGAAGAAATTCTGGACATTTTTGCAAATGACTTTGTAAAAGTGGACATTTTTTTTGCAATTTCCTCATTATTTTATTGATAGAATGTGTGGTTGATAAATGAAGAGAGAGAAATGAATTAAAATTTAATGGGGACCAAACATGGGCTTAGTCTACTGTAAAAGGGGAAAAATAAAAGGAATAATGACTCAATAGTTGTTGTACTTCAGAAGAGAGGTACACTGATATTGAGCAACTACACTTGCACTAGCTGGTTTATTGAATTCAAGTGTAATTAGAATAGGGTTTTGATTTATGTATTTTCTGTTTTACAGGCCCGAGTCAATGCATGAGTACAATTTGACGCCGCACTCTCTATATGCTGCTGTGTCTGTGGGACTTGAAACAGAAACAATAATATCTGTTTTGAATAAATTGTCAAAGACGAAGCTTCCAAAAGATATGATTGATTTCATACATAGTTCTACTGCCAATTATGGCAAAGTGAAACTTGTGCTGAAGAAGAATCGATACCTAATAGAATCCCCATTTCCCGAGGCAAAGTAGTTTGACCCTATTCATATTTTGGATTGATATATTAGAGGACAAAACGAGAACTTTTTTTACTTTACCAATGAATGTTTGCAGGTGTTAAAAAGGTTGCTCCAAGATGAGGTCATAGCACGGGCGAGAATATCATCTGAGGTACATGTGTAGGGCAGTTGGTTCTCTGAATGGTTTTACAGTCACTCGACATCTTCAAGTTTAATTGAATTCTGAAAATTCAAACAGTGGAGCTTTCCTTTCTTATTTGGCGCATGGCTCAAATTTGTTGAATTCTGTTGGTCAGGGGGTGGATGGAAGCGATGGTTTTACTGTTGGAAAATCAGCAGGTGAAATAGGTGGTGGACATGATGAACTGCTAAATGAAGCAGAATTGGCTGCTGCAGCTGAAGAGAAGGAAATCCACTCATTTGAAATTGACCCTGCACAGGTAGGTTAATTAGTTCAGTCAAAATTATCTTCTATTGGGATTTGTGATCCATTTTCATCATTTTTTAATGTAGACAGCAGTTGTGATGATGCATCTTTCATTTCATTTATTGTGGGCTTTACCGTGTGTGAGCTTCAACCTTGATTCCTTCAATATGTATATATCTGTATTCTATGCATTGTCATGGAAGCTTGGTCTAAGATCTGTTTATCCAATAGGTTTGGATTGTTTGGATATATTTCTTCACTAAATGATATTTGATGTGTTACTTTTCAAGAAATAATTGGAACCATCTTCCTTTGTTTTTGACACGTAACACGTCGAATTAACCCATTTACACCACTTAAGACCAATAATCACCCCCCCACCCCCCCGGAAAAAAAAAAAAACACGCACACACATACACACCACACATTGCTTGGCTAATCATTTGACCAGCAAGCTCATTGCTGTCATGTACATGCACATGCATTTGTATTAATGCTATAGATGGTGAGTAAGAAAATGGCTTGGGTGTTCTTTTTAATGTGCAAGATTAAGGAGCTCTGTCATAATTCTGATAACAGTGCTTCCTCTTGTTTCTTTGGCAAATTTCCTAAACTCCTTCTGAATGCTGGTAGTGTCTGCTGTTCTTACAATTTCAGAAACTATGTTCTTCTTGGAATTTTTGCTAAGATAATATATATATTAGGGCAAGCCAAAAATGAGAAATGATTGCTTGTTCTATAAGTAACTTTCCCAATATTGCCTAACTGATTAACTACTGATCATATTCTATTAACGATTTATGGGTTGACAGGTTGAAAATGTGAAGCAACGTTGTTTGCCTAATGCTCTGAATTATCCCATGTTGGAGGAGTATGACTTCAGAAATGACACAGTGAGTTGCTTTTGATTTCTTTTTATCAATATGGCCAGAGCAAGTCTACCTATTATTTCACACAATTATAAAATTCTATAGTTCTGTGAGGATGATTGATTCTCATTGGATACTGCAGGTTAATCCTGATCTTGAGGTGGAGTTGAAGCCTCATGCACAGCCACGTCCTTATCAAGAAAAGAGTCTTAGCAAGATGTTTGGAAACGGTAAGGGTCCTGCTTTTGCCTGTTAACTTCTTTTGTTGTCTGCCTAAATGTGATTGCTTTTATGAATGCTATCACCTACTTCTTGCCATGGTTGCTCCTTTTCAAAATAAAGCTGGGACATTAAATTGTAATTTAAAGTTCATTGACAATGGGAGGAGCTCGAAAATGGTCTGGGAGCACTGGAAACTGAGAATGTAGTGGATATTGACTTTCTTGGGCAAGTTTTAGTTGATACAATATTATAGTCTTTATGAACATACTGTATATGCATCCATATACTATTTTGGACATATTGGATGCAGTTTGAACTTCATAGGAATAACCTTATTTTCTCTGGTCATGTATGGCCTCTATGTTATTGACCTCCTTTATTAATTGTTTGTCCGGGGGTGGGTGGGGGTGTTATTCATACTTGCCATTCATTTTTTCCTAGTATTCGGAAGGAAGGGAAAACAATTGCCTTTTACCATTTACGTGTGTGGGATTCTGAACATTCCATGATAATCTTTGTAACACGGACATTTCAAGTAGGGTAGCATGTCCGTGTCTGACACTCCTTGGACACTTTGCAATGGTCATTTTTTCATTATAAAAAATATTATATATATATTTTTAATTCAAAGTTATTATTAAATAATAAATATGTTTTATTTCGACCCTGTAATTTAAAGTTCATTGACAATGGGAGGAGCTCGAAAATGGTCTGGGAGCACTGGAAACTGAGAATGTAGTGGATATTGACTTTCTTGTGCAAGTTTTAGTTGATACAATATTATAGTCTTTGTGAACATACTGTATATGCATCCATATACTATTTTGGACATATTGGATGCAGTTTGAACTTCATAGGAATAACCTTATTTTCTCTGGTCATGTATGGCCTCTATGTTATTGACCTCCTTTATTCATTGTTTGTCCGGGGGTGGGTGGGGGTGTTATTCATACTTGCCATTCATTTTTTCCTAGTATTTGGAAGGAAGGGAAAACAATTGCCTTTTACCATTTACGTGTGTGGGATTTTGAACATTCCATGATAATCTCTGTAACACGGACATTTCAAGTAGGGTAGCATGTCCGTGTCTGACACTCTTTGGACACTTTGCAATGGTCATTTTTTCATTATAAAAAATATTATATATATATTTTTAATTCAAAGTTATTATTAAATAATAAATAGGTACTCATATTTAAAAAATTTTGCCAAGAAAAATTAATAATAAGTATAAAACTAAATTTATACTATATAAATGAAGAATTTTAAAGACTTTAATCAACGTATTGAAGACGTGTCCTGTCAGTACTTTTTTGAAAAATCACTTGTCGGCGTGTCTATATTGGTGCTTCATAGATGATAATAGTACTTCATATCGTGTTTTACAATGCTTCCGTTTGCCATTTGTTATCTTCTTTCCCCTTTCTATTTGCAATGAATACAGAGCACATTTAGATCTGTATATAACGTTATTCAATTGCTTGTCTTTCTTGTCATTCAGGTAGAGCACGTTCTGGTATCATTGTGCTGCCGTGTGGTGCCGGAAAGTCTTTAGTTGGCGTTTCTGCAGCCTGCAGAATAAGAAAAAGTTGCCTTTGTTTAGCTACGAATGCTGTGTCTGTGGATCAATGGGCTTTCCAGTTTAAGCTGTGGTCAACCATTAAAGAAGAGCAAATCTGCCGTTTCACATCCGATAGCAAAGAAAGATTCCGTGGCAATGCTGGGGTGGTGGTGACAACATATAATATGATTGCTTTCGGTGGCAAACGTTCCGAAGAAGCTGAAAAGATCATTGAAGAAATAAGAAACCGGGAGTGGGGTTTGCTTCTCATGGATGAGGTAAATTCATTTTTGTGGAAGGATTAATTTTATCTATTTTGTATAAATGTGATTTTCCACTATGTTCAGTGAAGATCAATGGGTTACTTGTCCTTTGACATTTTAGGTGCATGTTGTCCCTGCTCACATGTTTCGGAAGGTCATCAGCCTAACAAAATCTCACTGCAAACTTGGGCTTACTGGTATGTGTTAAAACAAAAAATAGCTCCATAGACAATTTAACATTTACCATTCGACATCCTAGTATATTTGCTGAAAAATGAAGGAGAATTTATCGACTGGCTGAATTGCAGCAACACTTGTTAGAGAGGATGAGAGGATCACAGATTTGAACTTTCTTATTGGTCCAAAGCTGTATGAGGCAAATTGGTTGGATTTAGTGAAAGGAGGGTTCATTGCAAATGTCCAGTGTGCAGAAGTCTGGTGTCCAATGACGAAGGAGTTCTTTGCTGAATATCTGAAGAAAGAAAATTCAAAGAAGAAGCAGGTCTGTTGGGTTGAGGAAACATCATTTCAATCTGTAAAATTTTATAAATTCAGATGAGTTAATTCTAAAGGAGCGTACAATTTGTTTTACGCCCTTGCCAATCTGCATGGATTCTTGTGTGCTTCTTGAACAGTCAGTGGTGGTTAATTAAAACCATTAACTTAAAAATCCATCCTTGGCATGGCTGAAATGTCTGAAACAACACTTTAGCCAAATTGTCTTAAATGTTCCTATGAATATGATCCTGTTCTTTTTTTTTTTTTTGGAATGTTAACAGGACTCTGTATAAAAGTTGGTTGATGTTTCAGTGCTATTGATACATCTTTATAGGCTTTTATTGAAGCAATTTAACCAACTGTTGCTAGCAAATGCTTTCAGTATTAAGTTCGTCACAAGATGTTTCTTGCATCTCTGGACATTCTGTTTTGCATTTTTATTCCATTGATGACACTGCTCTGTCTAACTTAATGAAGGACGAAGATTTATATTTATTCAGTTGTGGAATCTTTACTTCAAACGAAAATTTACTTAGCCTGTTCCTATTGAAATATTTATTCATGTTTTTTTTCCTTCTATCTATATATCTGCTTCTTCTAACAACTTGTTTTTTCCTTATTATTTTTCAGGCACTTTATGTGATGAACCCTAATAAGTTTAGGGCTTGTGAGTTTCTTATTCAGTTTCATGAACAGCAACGGGGGGATAAGATAATAGTTTTTGCTGACAATCTTTTTGCACTCACTGAGTATGCAATGAAGCTTCGAAAACCTATGATCTATGGTGCCACAAGGTTTGTGTGTATTTATACTACTGGAAGAGATTTGATGTAGTTATGCTATTTTCACAATGTTATAATGGTCGCCTTGTCATTTTCAGCCATCCTGAAAGAACCAAAATCCTTGAAGCATTCAAAACTAGTCGAGATGTTAACACAGTATTTCTTTCAAAGGTATAAATAGAATTTATTTTTTAACCCATGTTTGTCGTCCTTGAGTGTGCTTAATTCCACTGGCAACTTCGTCACGATTGATTTTGGTTGGATGTTGTCTATTTTCTTCACAACTTGATGGCTTGAACTATGCAAGTTCTTGGGGTTTAGTAAATATGCTTGTGCATGCGCCATGACCTATTTCCTCCTGGCCAATAAACGTGACTGAATGTTTAGCCTTATACTACTGTCACAAGGAGTACTCGTGAATATGCATAATTTTTGGGACTCCATTGCACTCATTTTTATGGATTGAAGATGGTGTCATGGTCATGGTAAATGATATATGTTAGAGATATGCTTTGTGAGAATCAGTTTAAACAAGGGACACAAGGAACTATATCTTAATTGTTTCTGCTATGATCATTATTCCACTTTGTTTCCCTTTAAAATCCTCAACATTAATGAGTCCAATTTATCACTTGGGGAAAGTAATTGTTACTGTGTTATTTACAGGTGGGAGATAATTCTATAGATATTCCTGAGGCAAATGTGATTATTCAGATTTCATCACATGCTGGTTCAAGGCGTCAAGAAGCCCAACGACTGGG